GTTGGCGGAGCTGCGCACCGGGCGCAGTGGGTTCTCCGTGAACTGGCCAACCCGCCTAACACGCCTTGTCTTACAATGCTTACATGTTCGGCTCTCCCCTCGGGGGGGAGGAGCCTAGGGAAGCCCGGAGACCAGGGAGTGGTCTCCCAAGCTTCCCGTGTGTGGGTCTGGGGGGAGAGGGTCTCGAGATCAGAGACCCGGAGCCTGGCTGAGCTCACCGGTACCGTAACGATCCTCTGTCTCTGTCTCCGCCGGAGAGGCGGGGCGAGAGCAGAGAGACACGAGCAGGTTCCGGGACTAGCCAAGGCGCTCCCCGGAGCAAAAAAGACACCCCCTGTCAAGGGGGTGGGGCAAACGCTAGACCCAACTCTCAAAGGGGACTTGGTGGTCTTTGAGCCGGCGTTGCCTGATGCTACGTTTCCAGACCACAGGGAAAATGAAGGAAGCAAATGGGTGGATTACTCTAATGGGGTAGGAACATACATCCAACATCTTTCTAGATTGGCGAGGAGTGCGTTAGTTTTCCTCATTTCCTCCTCAGTGAAGTCTCTGAGGTAGAGCTTGTATGCGTCAGAGGCCCAACGGCCTCTGATACAAATCTCTCTGATTGGTACGCCCAAGGCTACCTGGATCGAGGCTCCGCCTACCCGGAAAGAATGTCCGGAGACTCCGTCGAAACCGCACGATTCCCATATCTTGGAGAGCGCACGGGTGGCCTGCGACCTCGTGATGTGCGTCCGTATCCCTTGGCCGTCCGTGTAACCGAATAGAGAGGTTTCAGTTCCCTCCGCTTCGCTTAATCTTCTTTTGACAGCGAGAACCGGGCAGAGCATGTGGGGGAGTTCCTTGAGGTATATGATTTGGGACTGGCCTGGGTCCGCTGTCTTCGCACCGCGTATCGTCAGCTTAGCGAGGTTTTCCCTCTCTTTGTAGACTAGCTCTACGTCCGTGGTGAGCAGGGAGGCGGTTCTTCTCAACGGTCCGCTACTCTCATTGTAGGTGAGTTCGGCCATGCGGGCCATCCCCCAGAAAGCGACTACGCACAGGTCTAGTAGCGCCTTCTGGAAAGGGTCTCCATCGATCAGCAACTCGGTTAACTTGACTAGGATCTCTATGGTAACGGGTTTCTTGCGGGGTTTCTTCGCAGTCTCAGCGTCCACGTAAGCCGATGATTTGAGGAAGGTGGCGACTTTTGTCTTGGAGTCAGAGGGGTAGGTGGCGTTGTGATACACATGCCACATTTGCAAACCCGCCAGGTACTTGCTGAGAGTGTTAGCTGAGATCTCGTGGGGCGTCGAAGACTCGGCCGTTCTCCCCGCCCAGCAGCAGAAGTCGAAAATGTCCTGGGTCTTCAACGGGAGGTTGTAGGTAGATCTCCCGGTCTCTCGGGCAAAATTTTGGTATTTCTTGATTGCTGCGTTGTAGCTGAGCAAGGTGTTCCACCTGTAGCCTAGTAAATAGTGCCTCTCCTGGGCTGTCGGCTCTTGGGGTTCAGAGCCGTTGCTTGTGATGGCGGTAATCTTTTTCAGATCTAGCATTGCAGAGAATAAGAGGGGGAAGGAGCGAGGTTGGAGGTGCTAGTTCTACGCTTCTCGGGGTACATGGCAGTAGGCTATTTAACAAACTGACTGAAACAATCTATCTTTTAGGTCATGGGGAATGGTGATAGGGATCTGTAGCTGTGGGTCTCTCCCCTCTCTGTTACCCCTAGAGAGCGCATCTGCGACGTTCTCGCCAGATGAAACCCTTCTTGACACGATATCTAATTCCATTTCGACTAACATCCGCTGTATGATCTTCCATTCTTCGTTGACCGCGTGGTGTTTGGACTTGCGTTTCAGGATTACGCTTTCGGTAGTTGTATTGTCAGTCCAGACTATTACCGTCTTGCCTTGCTTGATATTGAGTTGGGCTAAGGCGATTAGGCCTAGCCTAATCGCTACCGTTTCGAGCCATGCGATGTCTCGTCTTGGTTCGGGTCCTTGGTTCCATTCTTCTGTGAGTTGAAATTGGGCCCAGCGGCGGCCTATGGTGACCCCGATTCCGTAGGACGTTGACGCGTCCCCCATCCACCCGATTTCAATTGGGTCCGGGTCGCTTATCATCCTGGTTTCTTTGAAAGTGAGGAGAGTGGTTAGCCACTCCTCGAGGTCTACTCTCACGTCCTTGGGTATGGGTAGATCTATGTGTCTATGTACCCAGGCGTTCATCCATCGGTACAGGCTGTTTATGTAGCATCGAAGTTGTGGGAGGAGATATGACACGTGGTTTAGTCGTCCGGCCATTACTTCTGCCTGTTTGAAGGAGAATTCTGTGTCGGGTTTGAGGAATTCTTTAATCTGTTGTACCCGTTGGTACTTCTTGTCTTCGGGTAGCCGTACAGACTTCTTGGTGGCGTTCCAGATGAAGCCGATATACTTCTGCTCTTCTTTGAAGGGCGAGTACTTCGTCGAATTGGTTTTGACACCGAGTTTCTCCGATCGGTCTACGATGTCTTCCATCTCGACTTTGGAGTCTGGGTGTTTGACGAATAGATTGTCGTCTACCCAGCGGAAGACGGTTACTAGATCAAACTCGTGTAACATCAGCTGCTTCCAAGCGTCTGCCGGTCTGCCGAAAGAGCCGCATCCGGCTACTCCCCCAAAGGCGATTCGCGTGTCGATGAGTATGCCCCCGTTGAAATCTCGGACCATCAGGTATGCCCATTGGGACTTTGCGGTCGGGATTTGTCTATAGGCCTTCTCCCAGTCGAAGAGGGCCAAGAGAAGGGGGCTGGTTTGTCGCCTAAAGAATTTAGAGACGCTTTCGAAATCATCCCACGTAGTAGCGTAGTCCAACTTGTTGACGAAAGAATTGACGGATGGGGTCAGTGGGTCGTGTCTTGGAAAGGACAGGTCGTTGATTGGCCTGACTGACCCGTCCCCGTTGATCGCTGCGCCCAGGGGATTCGTTCTGAAGAAACTGAACTTCTTCATAAGTTGTTTATGGGTGTAGGGTCCGAACATTCGGCCCGCTTCTATCTCTTTTTTCATGGATTGTTCGATTTTGTCCTGCGCCATTAGCGCTGACTGATGGTTAGGGGGGGTGAAGTAGGGGGTTGCAGGTCCCAGGTTGTGGTTTGGGATTCCCTGGTCGAAGCCTTCTTTGAAACCGCGTATCACGTCTGCAAATTCCTCAGTAAGTCCGGCTTTCTCCAGCGCTGCCTGCCATTCTTTTACGTTCATTTCGCATTTGATATCTTCTGGCCAGGCTGGGGTGCCTTCCTTGTGGAGGACTAGGTGACGTGGGCCGTCGGTTGGCGACAGCTGCTCCGACGACTCCCTGGGGCTCCTTGTTTCTTCGAGGGGCATGGGTTGGGGCTCAGGGGCGTGTGCCGTTTGCGCCGACGGTCTCGGTGGGATTTTCCCTTCCCTGTAGGGTTTGGCACACTGATGTCAGGGTAGTGTTTTAAAATAGTGGAACGGGTTCATCTTATTTCTTTTTCTTTCTTATATGTATCTATAAGTATGTGTCTATCTACAAGCGATATGGTTGTTCCTTGTTTTGGGTTGTTGCCCGATGACAGAGATATGTGGACTTGGGATGGGATAGAGAAATTGAGAGGAAAGAAGCGAAAAGATACCTACTCGTTTCCGCGTCTCCTGCCGCCTGGATTATGATTGGGATTGAAATTCCTGCCTTTATACCCTGAGCTTCTGGGTGGTCTAGCCTGATCTGGTTTTGGGGGTAAGGGGTTTGTGGAGGGATGGTGGGTTGTCTGATTTGTGACGGTGTTGGCGGAGCGGCTGCTGGCTGGAGTGTTTGTCGACGATGTCTTTGCCAATTTTTGGCCCGTGTGAGGGTCCCAACCGTACTTCGGACCGCCGATTGCGTACGGGTTTTCTCTCACTCCAAGTTCGTTGAAGTTTCTGGCTTCCGCATGGGCGTCGTCCGCCGTGTTGGCCTTGAAGATGGATATGTTCGAAAACGATTCTTCGCCGTCTTTCTCGACCCGGAACGCAAAGGCGTTGTTCCTGATCCTGATGTCGTAGCGCAGGGCTACCATGAAGCCGTGCTTCTTCAGGAGTCGGTCGCAATTGGCTTTGTGTAGGAGGATCCATTCCGCTAGAACAGGGTAGTTGTATCTGTCCCTGATCGTTTCGTGGAAACACTGGTGATTCAGTGTCCAGTCTGAGAATGATTGAAGCCATTCGTCTGGGACGGCTAGACCGTGATAGCGTAGGTTCTTCTCCGCTGATGATTCTTCCTTTTTGGGTCGGTTCCTTGAATGATGGGATAAGGCCTCTTCCTGCCAGGTTCTGTTGAAGATCGTCAAAGGGATCGGGCCTTTCAACTCTAGGAGGTTTTTGTGAAAGTAGGGCGTGAACCCTCCGTCATCGTGGGAATTGTTGTTGGCCCAAATGAACTTGATGCCGCGAACCTGGGTCGTACCCTCTGACTCGTTCGGCCTCTTTTTGGTGTTGGTTTGAAGATCTGATGTTGCCGGGATTTTGTTCGCTTTAGCGCTCTGGGGTTGTGGCGCTTGCTTCGCTAGTGTGTCGTACATTGCTAGGAATCTGTCGGCTTTAGCGTCATCTCCTTCTTCTTGCGCTTTAACGGCTTTGGATAGGAGCATCTCCATTGCTTTGGCGCTGGTTGACTTCTCGCCAGTGGGGGAGTCCGCGCTATTCGGCTGAGTTTCATCGTCGATGATTTCTACTAAGTTTTTTTTTTTTTTTTTTTTTTTTTTGTCAGTTCAGGTTGTTTCCTTTGGTTATGACTTTGTTTTTTTTTTTTTTTTTTTTTCGCTTACCGACTGGGGTTTTCAGCGTTGACCTGGTTACCGAGCTGCGGGAAGCTGGATCCGGTTCTCCCGTTCCCGTGAACGTAGTTTCTTTCCCTTTAGGGTTCGACTCTTTCTCTTTGCCTTGCGGCTGAGTTGCGGATTTGGGGGCGGGTAGACTGGAGGAGTTGCTGGCGGAGGAGTTCGGTAAGGGGGATGACGGGAGGGGAATCAGGCTGGGGTTGGGGGGTTGATTGTTGTTTTGGTTTTGGTTTCCTTGTCTCGATGAGTCTTTCACTCGATCGCTGATGGATTGGATTGGATTTTGGTTTGACATTTCGAATGTGTTTTCCGGGTTTTATGGGAAGGAAGGAATGGGATTTACTGAAAAAGTGGGCAAAAAATGCAGAGATGTAGAATGCAGAAAAAACTGAGGACGGTAGAGTGGCGGGGAGAAGGGAGGTCGGCGAAGGTGAATGAGTCGAGTAGTCGAGTGATGGCGATAGGGAGACGGAAGAGTACTGGGTGAACCCTGGGGCACTCCCCCTCTACGCCCGGCCTGCCTAGTCGGCGATACCTGCTGCGCGGCCTGGAGGCAAAGTGCGCAGCCGCCTGGGCCGGCTAGTGGGAGAGGACCGGGCTGCGGGGGCGACGTCCTCCATGGACACGCTTCTATTCCCGCTACGCTTCCATTAACGCTCCAACATAAGCCTCGCGATCGGAGGGTCCCGAAGGGACCCCGCGTCCGAAGGGACGCTCTCCGAAGGAGAGGCTTACCTCCAAAGCCCCTCCGATGACTCAAGGTAAATGAGATTTCTGCAAAAAAAACGCTTATTTTGCCTTTGAAAATTATTTGAAAATGTACTCTTCAACTTTTCATAATTCTGAGTAGGCAGAATTGTACTTGATCATCTCAGCTCTCAGACCGATCCTTTTTGTAATTTTTTGCCTTAAAACCATTGTCCTTCCGATGTTTTTAGTTGGTGATGATCTGGATTTTCGCCAAGATCCAATTTGGATCCGACTTCATCAGATCGTGGACCCTCTCACGGGTTCCTGTCGGATTCTACGCAATTGCATAGTATCCGGTTTTCAATAGTGAGTGTTTGTATTGGCAGGCATTGGATCTCTCAGCGTTCAACTGCCTCGCCATCGCTCATACTATGCTTCACCAAATTACACATTTATGACCGGATCTTTTGGTGGAAAATCCGGCTTTGAAAAAGCCGGATTGTTTACAGATAGTTTCCACAGCCCCAACTTTACAGGACAATTCTCAAGAACAGGAACAGATATTGAAGATTTGGAGGATACAATAATTACCCTATAAGCCCTGCGATTTCAATGGTACCAGAGGCGGGATGGGTAAATGAGTGCTAGTGGGTGCTATGGGGGAGGGGGAGCTACTCACAGCCAATTGGCTGGACTCTGTAGGGGTAGACATGCCACTTTGGATGCAAGTCCCTCCTTCGGAGGTCGCTACGCGACCTCCTCGGAGGGACCTTGTGTTAAGTTCGGGGGGGGGGGGGGGGTTCGGAGACGCTAGGAGTCAAACCCTGAAAATTGGACCCGTCCTATTACAACCCAAATTTTTGACATTCATTGCGGTTTCTGAGTCCAAGCAGCGGTCAGCTGCCTTAGAATCAACGGGGGACTTTGAGCTTAACTAGGCCTCCATGGCGGGAGCGGTAGCAAGCAGTGGAGCTGTCCACACCAGTGAAAGCCTATGCCTTAGTCGCAAGGGCCGTGTGGCAAGATTACAGATTTGGGCCTGAAACCCTTTTTTAAGTTACATTGTGTGTGCACACTTTTTTGTTCTCATCCATTGAATTTGCTTCACAGGCATGGAAGGCCTGCTTCTTCTACATGTTACAGCCTTCTCATTTTGTTTTTGACCTTCTGAGTTTATTTGTATCTATCTTTCAAAATGACAACTTTTTGACTTTTGCTGGCTTTCTATGGTGCGCAAAAGTTGATCAAACTGCTCAAACACGCTTCTAAGAACTCACAGTGTGATTTTATAAAATCATTATAAAATCACAACAGGCTGAAGCTGTTTTGAGTTTTGGCCAGATGGAAGCCAACATGCATCCCATCAATAAAATCCAACCAAACATCAAAAGGGTTGGGAGGATCTCACGTGGTTGCAACATGAAAGTTAGTCCCACCAAAACAGTCCATTCTTGGCATGCAAGTTTGTTAGAGATCGCCATTTTCCATCCGGATATCCGTGGAAGAACCAGATATCCGCTCATAGTTTCAGTGGAATTAGGCAATTCCTGCTGAAATTAAGAGCGGATATCCGGATCTGCGCGGATATCCCGGATGCAAAACGACCATCAAGTTTGTCAACCTTTGAATCAAGTCTCCCCTGCAGGGAGTTTCCTTTGGCAACCTCCTGGCCAGTGCCATGCTGCCAGATGCACCCTCTGCAGTAGAGACTTGAGTTAAGTTTGGGGAGACTTGGGTTCTCAAGCAGGCCCAGAGAGTAAATCCATTGTGAGAGCTAAACCCAAGAGCCAATTTATTTGGTAGATGTGTTTAGTGGGCTCTGTAACTTTTGGCACTGTTCATTTATTCTTGGGGGTTGAAAAGGCCTTTTGGGGTTCCAATGTTTCAATCACTAAGTTTCAGAAGAATGATGGGAAAAATGGAAAAATACATGTTACAATTAAACAAAAAAAAGAAAACAAGATGCAAAGAAATACATTTTCAGCTATTTTCTAACCTCTTGATAATTTTCACAAAAGCCTTGAGGAAGTTGGATACAATGCAGAGGGGTGTGGTCAGAATTAGAATGGAAAGATATTTTTAAGTTTAAACTCTTTTTATTTCTTCATATTGTGAGCTTGATGGTGGGCAGGATGTGATGAGAGGTTTTATTCAAGGAATTACCCTGATTCAACAGCAGGTTGCTACCTGTTTCTGCACTGAACTATGCTAAACAGCCACATAGTGGTAGTGTAGTGACTCCCCATTGCTTTAGCAGTAGTAGGCTTTTATTGGAGCTACACTGACAGTCTGAAACCGCACTGCGCTATACCAAAATTTTCAGAAAAACAAAAAACCAAAAGGCAATGTAAAATCACATCTGTTAGAGCATCCTTATTGGTGGCTAATTCCATGCAAGCCAAGCACTTGAGCCTTGAAATTCAACCACACCAGTGTGAGCTAAGCTCAAGCTAAACTAGCTTGTGGCTCCAATTTCAGCTAACTGCTGCTAGATCTAGCAACATTTATAAGCTTTTAAGCAAGCTAAAAGCAAACACCCATGCATGTGTTGCAATTTGGTGCCCTCCTGAAAATATTACACACCTCAACTTCAAACCATCCATCACAACTTACCCTCAAGCCACACCAGTGCAACGGAATTATTGTTGCTATTGTAGCTTAGTGATAGCTGCAAGCTTAAATTGCTTGCTTTTAGCTCAACTAGTAAGAGATTCTGCATTGGTGTGCGGATTAGGCAGGATTAGCTGCCTAATCTCATCCTCCCAATCATACTGGTTGGGTTTAGAGGTTGTATTAAGTCAGATCCAGGGTCAGTTTTGGAGCTAACAGATATCAAATTTATACCCCACTAATCCAGGGATCTAGTTCTCACTAATCCAATCATCCACTGTGGATTATCTAAAGATGCTCTTATTAGATGTTGGAGCAGTAGCCTGGACTTTAATATATGTACATAACCTATGACATACATTTCTTGACTCCCAAACTTGGAGTTAGTTTGAGGTTCACACCTTGTGCAGTCTCCTCCCAGATGTTTATAGCCATCTGCTTTGAGCTCCACAGCGGGAAACCAAAAACTTCAAGTCACAAGAGTTTGTGGAATGGTGGAAAATGGGTTTCAAAGAATGAATATGAAAAAAATAATAATAAAAAACAAGATTTTAAAATTTGTGAAAGAGATAAAAGAAAATCAACTTTTTTTGAAAACTTCAAGTTTTTGTTTGATTGAAAAGTGAACACACAGAGGGCAAGTTTGGAACATGGGAAGAATGATTAGAAAGGAAAAAAAATTGATCCCAAAAAAGTTTGAGCACGGTGGGTGGACACCCTGAAGTCAAAATTAGTAGATTGCAGTACCAGAATGCCACATTTCTTGATGAATGACCCCCTAGGCACCCTTTTTAAACCACCAATTAGTCATTTTTTTTCTTCCAAATTTTCACTTCTTATTATTCATTCCAGATCTCATACTATCAATTTGGAGATTTCATCTTTTCCTGAAAGAAATTTTAGAGCTGTCAGTTTTTGTGATTTTCTCCTTTTTTACTTTTTACAAATCTTATAATCTTGTTTATCATTATTATTCTTTCATATTCATTCTTTGAGACCCATTTTCCACCATTCCACCAACTATTGTGACTTGAAATTCTTGGGTTCCTGGTGTGGAGCTCAAAACAGATGGCTATAAACATCTGGGAGGAGACTGTGCATTTCTCATTTTGCAATCTATCATCAAAAACCAAAACCCTGGAGCTTCTTCCCTTCTTGCTCTAGAGCACTCATAACATTATCTGTGGGTTCCTATTCTAAACTACAATAAATTCCCACCTAGCCGCAGTTTAGCCAACCCCAAAAAACCCCTCCTGATACCATAGTGTTAGTGTCTCTATGCTAACACCATTCTGTGTGACACTGCTTTTTGGGGAAACCCCCCTAAAAATGGGTGTAGAGCTGTTTTGTGGCTGCATAATTTACCCCTGGGCTTTCAGAAATAGTTTGATACTACTAAAAGCTAACAGCAAATATCTGTAGTGTTAGTGGTAATTTGCTGCACCGAAACTAAAGTCAGTGTAGCTGACCCACAGTTGATAAAACCATCAGAATTAGTTTAATACCACTAAGAGCATCCACATTGGTTGATCTGATTAGTGAGGATTAGCAACCTCTTTAATCCCAGGATTAGTGGGGTTCAAATTTAATACCCATTAGCTCTAAAATTGACCTTGGATCTAACTTAATCCAATCTAATCCCTACCAGTATGGTTGGGAGGTTTAGATTAGGCAGCTAATCCTTCCTAATCCACACACCAATGCGGATGCTCTAACAGCTAACAGAAAATATATGTAGTCAATGTGAAAAATCTCAAGAACTGCTGCCAGTTGACATGCAGAAACTCTCTTCAAAGTTGGGTTGTTAATTGGATGTCCATTACCTCAGCCATAGTTCAATGCACAGTTACTGTGCAGAAATTATTGCATTGGAATAGAGCATGCCAACTGACACCAGTTTTGCAAATTGTTTGTTTTTCATGTTGAGTCTTAGTGGTATTTTTCTCCACTGAAACTTAATTCAATATAGCTGACCCACCATTGATAAAACCATCA